AATTTCATTGCAGATACAGTAGAACAGAATACTGCTAAGGAACTGGAGCTATTCCAAACAGAACTATTCCACTATTCCGATCAGATAAAGTGGTGCAGAAAGAGTAGATCAGATAGAATAGTGCAGATACAGTAGAACAGATGGAGTATTGCAGTGCAGATAAAATGAAACAGGGCTGCGCTGGAGATTTTTTTTGTTTTCTTTACATTTTTTGAACATTCTTTTGCCTGAGTTTATTTATTTGGTGGTAGACTTTATAAGAATAATGCCCACAAGATGCCTGAAAAGGGATGATGTAAAATTTTAATTTCAGGTAACTTCTGATCCATAGAGTAAAAATTAATTTTCTTCAACCAAAGCCAAATTCACCATAGAAAAAAAACTGAATTTAATTCAGTTATTAAAATCTGTTGGGCTCTAACAGAAAATTGAATCTAACTGAACATTTAAACTAACCTAAAGTCTGTGTTTTTTTAAAGATAATTCCCCAATTCAAAAATTTAGTAACTATGTTGGCAACACAAGCCTTTTCTACATAAAAATTTTGAAAACATTGACAATTTTATATTGTATTGCCAACATAATGTCATTTTGACTTTTATCTTAAAAAAAAAAACGCACTTTAGATACGTTAACACAACATTTAGTAGGTATTTAATAATTCAGAGGAGGAACAAAGTTCGCCGGGTCAGCTAGTTGCTATATAAAAAGGATTTACCTTCTGCTAAGCTTTTCATCCGTGAGAGTTGAATAAATTTAACACTGTTCAACTTCTTCCTCCCAATCAATTGAGAAGGAGCCTTCCCGAATGGCAAATATAACCGCCAATGGAGATTGGATCAATTAAGTCCATTTATATTAAAATTCGCTCCAATCGTCCAATCTCTACCGGCTCGTTGATTCTCCTCTTCGATGCGATGCAATCTATTTTTGAGGAAACTCTTAAGCTATTGAGACGGTTTTGAAAATTTTATTCTTGAAAAAGTTTTATTGCTCACAATATTTCAAATAAATTCCATTCACCTTCAATTTGTCGAAAATAATTCTCCATATAGTCTGGGAGTTAACGACATATTTCGTTGTACCATTTCCGCAAGCTTCATTATTTTTGTATGTGTTATGCGTATAGTATATAATATTAATATGAACGTCTGCCGGCGCACCCTCACGACAGGGGGTTACAGGAAGGTTACAATTACAGCAAAAATTTTACGAAAAAAACTTATATTCGCACAAGCGAAACTTATTGTACGTATTGGTAGAAACATAGAAAGCTTAGAAAATATCGTCTGCCACCTAAATGTCACGACAAAAGTCGTCTGCCATCCACAAGAATAAGCGCAAAAAATAAAAATAAAAAAAAATTATACCCGCAAGGCTGAAATTAATTGAAATACTTCTTTTCATATTAATAAACACAAAAATAATAGTCTGCCACGAATAAGATGCAACGAAGATCGTCTGCCAAGCCTATGAAGTTAGGTTCGGCATATGGCGGATCATAGAATTTTTGTAAAACAAAACTAAAGATGGCGCCACTAATTGCGCATTTTTATGAAGTTGTTTTTTGGCAGTTCACTAATTGCTTTTTCACTATGGCAGTTTGGACTTCCGTTATAGCTGCGTCAAGTTAGCCCCCCACATTCGAATTTTCTAAAAAAATTGCAACCACTTACTGTGCTCGAAGTGTGCTTTATTGTGCCGATGATAGTTTGAACTGTGCCGTTTCGGTAATAAAGTTATAGGAAAAAATAGATCAGGGGCTAACTTGACGCTCAGCCCCCCCAAAATTTTGGAAATCAGATTAAACATAATTGAATTCTTATCCAATCTGAAGTGTGCTGAACTGTGCTGGATCAGGTTTTTCTGAAAATGTCCATATTCGGTCATATTCCGACAGAATCCTACTGGGGGACTAACTTTACGCTCAGCCCTCCCAAAATTTCGAAAATCAGTTTGAACAAAATTGAATTCTTATCCAATCTGAAGTGAGCTGAACTGTGCTGTATCCAGTTTTTCTCAAAATTTCCATATTCGGTCATTTTCCAACAAAAACTAAGAGGGGGCTAAGTTGATGACAGACTTTGGAAATCAGATCAAAGAAAAACGGATTCTTATTCTTATGTGGTATGGATGGTATGTATGTAAATTCTCAGAGCTGAACGTCAAGTTAGCTAGTAGGATTTTGTCGGAAAATAACCGAATAAGTATTTATGTAAATTTTGAGAAAACCTGATACACCAGAGTTCAGTACACTTCAGTTTGGAAAATAATTCAATTTTGTTTAATCTGATTTTCAAAATTTTGGGGGGCTGAGCTTTAAATTGGCTCCCCGTTCTCCAATATGATTATTTTGTCGGAAAATAACCGAATATGAGAATTTTGAGAAAAACCTAATCCAGCACAGTTCAGCACACTTCAGATTGGATAAAAATTCAATTATGTTTAATCTGATTTCCAAAATTTTTTTTTTTGGGGGGGGTGGCTGAGCGTCAAGTTAGCCCCCCAGTAGGATTTTGTCGGAACATGACCGAATATGGAAATTTTCAGAAAAACCTGATACAGCACAGTTCAGCACACTTCAGATTGGATAAGAATCCTTTTCGGGTTCATCTGATTTCCAAAATTTTGGGGGGGCTGAGCGTCAAGTTAGCCCCCCAGTAGGATTTTGTCGAAATATGACCCAATATGGAAATTTTCAGAAAAACCTGATACAGCACAGTTCAGCACACTTCAGATTGGATAAGGATTCAATTATGTTCAATCTGATTTCCAGAATTTTGGGGGGGCTGAGCGTCAAGTTAGCCCCCCAGTAGGATTTTGTCGGAACATGACCGAATATGAAAATTTTCAGAAAAACCTGATACAGCACATTTCAGCACACTTCAGATTGGATAAGAATCCCTTTTGGTTTTATCTGATTTCCAAAATTTTGGGGGGGCTGGGCGTCAAGTTAGCCCCTCATTTATTTTTTCTTATAACTTTGTTACCGAAACGGCACAGTTCAAAATATCATCGGCACAGTAAAGCACACTTCGCATGTGGGGGGCTAACTTGACGGAGCCTTCCGTTATAATAAAAAAACAAAAACCATAAATACAGGGTGTCCGAAAAATAGCGTAAAAACTCTCCAAGTAGTAGAGGACCCTTTGAGAAACCCTAGTAAAATAAAATAATTAAAAATTCCTTCTCCAGCATCATTCTTGGTAATATGAAGAGATAGATGATTCACCTTCGAATTCTTCAGGTAGTTACATGGGTATTTAATTTAATTCTGACATATTATCAACGGGATATTTTCAGCGTTGCCAATTTTAATAAATATCAAATGCAAATGACTTTCTTAAGAATACCACTAGATTTTTTAAAGTTTTTTTCTGGGGTTTCTTGTAGGGTCCTCCATCACGTAAAGAAGAGTTTTCACGCTATTTTTTGGACACCCTGTATAGCTCGAGACCAGATGAGACCACTCGAGACGAGACGAGACTTTGGTACTCGAGACCGAGACTAAATCACGGTCTCGTCTCGAGATGTCGAGACCAGACGAGACAACCCTAAGCACCGGCGTATCCAGCCCATACGTCTGGGGGGGGTAATCAGCCCAAGCCAGCCCGCCGGAGGCGAAATTTTTTTTTTCTACGAGCGTGCGGAAAAGTACACTTTTCCGCACGCATTTTAGTTTGGAAAGTTTCACTTTACAGATGTCAATTTTTAAATTATGAGCTGACACACTTACACAAATATCAGCATTGAGAATTATTGACACAATAACGTTATTTATTAAATTATTTTGGTTTAAACTCAACTTTTCTTGTGAAATTACTATAGAATGGTTACTTTATGCTTAAAAATTTCGAAAATTTCATAATAGATACATCAAACCTACAAATTATTGTTAAAAGTTCTCGATTTTATTGTCTTCAGAATAAGGCAAATTATTTCAGAATTAGTTTTTTTTTTTTTATTAATAAATAAATGAGTTTTATTTGTAAAAGTACCTTATTTATATTAAGAAAAAATTACTCGATTTGTTTTTAATACCAGGTCTTGAAGAAGAAATATTATCAAATATTGGTGTTAAAATTTACATTACGTAGGTACGTTCCTTCTAACTCGTAGAAAAAATAGTGTTCCTAACTCGTGCGGAAAGTCTCTTTTCCTCACTTGATTGCTTGCCGAACTCCGCTACGCGTCGTTCGGCAAACTGTAATCGCGTGCGGAAAAGTGGCACTTTCCGCACTTGTTAGGAAATATACTATTACCGGGTGCCACGCCCAAAATCGTTTACTTTGAGCCGTCAAAACATTTCTTTACGAAAGTGGGGAAAATTAAACAGTGCGGAAAATCGATTTTCTCGCAAGGTGCGGCGAAATTTTTTCCGCACGGATATCGGTGCGGAAAAATCTTTTCCGCACGGCTGTCAAAAAAAAAAAAAACAATAATTTACTACAAATTATGTAGGCACAGTGGGAATCATTGCAATTCGCACACACTTTAAAAACATCCCCCGTAATGTGTTAAAATTTTGCTTCTTTGACACACAGGTAATCTCAAAATCTTGTCAGACTGATAAGTCAGTGGTGAACATAATAGTTTTAATAGACTGTTAAAGGAAAAAAATATTTGTTTGCTAAAATCAACTAAAATAGTTTACCATATCGTCGGCGACACCGCAAACCCAAGTAACTGCAAAAACCAAAATTTTCAGGAGGCACTGAAAACCTTACAATTTTGGGTTATTGAATTTGATTTAATGGAAAATAGTTACAAACCACTTGGGAACTATTATTTCAGTGTCTGTACACTTTTTGGAAAATTATTTGCTTATTTTTATTGGAAGTGTTAGATACTTGGTTTTGACATCCTCCTCTGCGCGAAAATTGCTAGTTAAGAGGTTTTGCGTTGTTGATGCTGCAATTTTAAACAACAGTTAGATGCATGTTTTTAACATAAATTATTTATTTATAGGTATCAAAAATACAAAATAAAAATACTTTTTCAAAAAAAAATAAACAAATGTAAATGCAAACTTAATTAATGAGGTAATGAATCATAAAATTCGTGTACATCTAAGGGTAAGACACTTTTGAGGGCTTGTAGGTGTTGATACTTCTGTTCTTTAATTTTAATACGACTTTTGTATAATTGGCTAATCTGTGCATTTATACTCTTCAGTCTTTGAGGTAAGACAGTCCAATTGTCAGAAAAATTACTCTTAAACGAGATTCCATTATTTTTTTCATATTTCAGGCATCTTATATCATTAACATGTAAATCAGTCTTTTTTTGGCCAGGTCTAATACTGCTATAATATCCCAGTTTTGAGTAATCCAGGAACCAAGTATGATCCAAATAATTTACTTCAAAAGGTTGCTTCAATCGAGCTTTTTTGCACACTTCAATGTAATCAGATGGAAGATTTATATCTTTATTTTTAAGCTTCCTTTCTATCAAACTGTGCACGCTATCGACTTCCATCTGGGTATGTCCCTTTTCTAAAATTTTTTGAATCACAATTATGCCCGTTTCGTTGACAAAATGGTATAATGCATTACTTAAAATGCAATTACGGTTCTGGTAACCGCAACCATCGCTAAAGAGAATAATGGTTTTTATATGCGGATTTTTTTCCAAAAAGCTAGAAAGATGTTTCACGATAAGGGTTGCAAAAATGTTAGCTTCAAGACCACCTTCAGCTTCATGCCATAAGTAACAGGAGACTTCTTTGTCTACTAAGTTAAAAGTCGTAAAATTATGAACGCATAATTTGGTTTTGTAATAAATAGCAGAAGCTTGCAGTACAGGGGCCAGCTTCACAGACTGGAGGTCCATAGTTATGACTGCAATCTCTTTATTTTCCATTTCCATTGCCATTTTTTTGTCTGCTTCTTTCTCCTTTCTGGCTTCATCTTTTCTTTTAATGTGGGTCTCATAATTTTCCTGCGATACGTTCTTAGTCTTATAGCCAATGCATACATCGCATTGGTCTTTCTTAGGTTTGTGAACAAATATATTTTTGATATTCATTTTTTTTTTAAAATGAATTAAACTTAGAGCTTTGGCATTATTATCATCACAATAATCTTTGTATAGACGGTATACATCAGTCTTTGTCTGAAACAATGGTTCCAAGTACAGTCTTTGGGTTGATGGTCTGCAATAGTGTGATTCTAATTTAGGAAGTTTATCCAAAAAGGTTTGTAACACTTCTAATGCTTTTTTCAGTTCTACAGGTAATCTTGATCTACTGGGCATAGCTATATCATTGCTGTCCTTTATCTTATTATTAGCTGCTTGGTTTAACCAATTTCTCACCATCCACTCCTTCAAATCTAAAGTGTTTAAAAACATCTTTTTGCAAATTCTGAGATTTTCAGTATCCTTTTTTAGATAATACTCAAATGTCAGTAAGCGACTGGAATTATCTTCTTTGGGACGTCGAGTAGTTGTTGTCTTGACTAATGATGAAACATACACTTTCCGCATGTCCCATGACATTTCCCAAAAATTTGAAAAAATATTTTTTCTATCAAGGGGGGTGAAGGTGTTGCAAAACCTATTTTTTGCCTTTTTGCATAAAACAGATTGACATGTTGGTCTCAGTTTTCTCTCTTCATTTTCATTTTCATAGGAGTATTTTCCGGTAATTTTATTTTTTCTCAAAGTTTTATATTTACAGCCTTTTTCTCTTAACTTCTTATTTCTTTTTCTTGTATCCTTTTCTTCTTTGTATCTTTGTGTTTCTGCCTCAATTTCCATAGGCTCAGCTTCTAATTCATTGTTTGCTAAATTTTCATCATCCATAGTTTCTACTTCGCTGTTAGTGTTGTCAGCTTCTTGTTGAACAGTGTTGGCTGAATTTTGATTTTCCACTGTTTCTACCTCAATTTCATTATTGTCGTTGTTTGTATCAAGTTCAGTTACTATAATAATACCATCCTGGTAGTTCTCGTATACCATGTCATCAAATAATTCACTTTGGTAGGACTCATGAATATCATTTTGTTCGGAAATTTGGATAGTTTTTTCACTCGCAGTGATACACTCATTTAAAGCAATATGGTTATTTTCTATCAGCTCCGGTGAATTTTTTTCGTCATCTGGGCGATTGCAACTTTCTTCAGGTTCTTCGATGTCGTTATTATGAATTAGGATTGCGTCGGTAGCAGTAGTAACAAGGGTTGGTGAAATATTGGCCCTCCTCGCAATGGTTCCATCAATACTAGTTTCATCAGGATTTTTTATTAAATCGGGTATAATATTTTCCTCATTTGAATCATCAAATACCAGAAGGTCTTCAAAAAACTCATCACTTTCTAGGATTTCCTGCAACTGCAAGTTTGAAAGTGGTCGATTTGATGCCATGGCAAAAAACAGTATCTGCAAAATACAAAACAATTATTCAGAAATGTAAAACGCAAAAACACGTAACTGCACGTTATTTTTTAGATGCGTTTTTTGAGAATTTCAGCTTTAAAAATAAAACAAATTTATATTTTTTGTGTTAAAACACCAGTTGAAATTAAAAATATACTGTTTTAAACATTAATTTAATAAAAATAATGAACTTACCAATTAAAAACTGCACACAACAACATTACAGGGATGAATCACCATCGGCAACTGTTAGATACTTGTTCTTGCAGTTGCGTTTTTTTCGTCAAACAGATAAGAGGTTTTGAATGTTCCGATTTAAAAATATTTGGAATTTTTTGCCAGTTGCGAGGTTTTGAACACGCGTCCCCACAAATACAATAAACCGATTGCCGCCAAAATTACATTTTTGAATTTTTGTTAGTTACGTGGTTTTGCGGTGTCTTCGACGATATGCTTATATAACAATTACGAAAGGACAAGAGGCCCTAAGTTATGACAGTAACGCCATAGTGACATCATGAATTTGAAGGGAAAATGGGTCGACAGGAGCTAAATTATCATGCACACCACTGCACTAAACAAAATTATTGGTTAGAATTTTGACTTGATACGAGGGATGCTAAAAAAGTTTGTGCCAATTGCAATGATTCCCACTGTACTTATTTCCGCATGTCTGTAGAAAAACTATTGTGTACCTAACACATGCGGAATATCTGTTTTCCGCAATCGGCTGCTTCACCGAGTGTCTTCGTGTCTTATTTTACCAGCTTGTATAAGAAAGAGATAAAAATACTTTTTGCACTGATTTTACCAGTGGAATTCGTTATGGGATTCCCCTAAAACTTTTTGATTATAGCGAATTCTATTGGTAGAATTAATACAAAAAATGTATTTATCTCTTTCTTATGCAAGCTAGTAGAGAAAGACACGAATACACTCAGTGTGCACTATCCCTTTGAGTAGAATTCGCTATAAATGGCATGCGGGCAATGCGGACACTGTGCAAACTAGAAAACAAGTTAGGGCCAGTTGCTGAAAAGTAAAAATATAAAAATAGTATAATATTCAACGAGCTGATAATTGAAAAAAAAACTCACTGTATGAGTAATCATTCACATTGATCAATAGAAAATGGATGTACCTATATTATGCATATTATTCAATACTCATAGAAAAATAGATTTATTTGTAAGGTGTAGGATACATATTTTTCGTCCATCGCAACGGTCTTGGGGGGGGTAATTACCCCCATTACCCCCCCTTGTATACGCCGGTGACCCTAAGTCTCGTCTAGTATTGTCTCGCGGCACCACTACTTTAAATACAAGTGGAAATATTCTCTCAATCCGTGAGGAGGAGAATTTAGATTTGAATTACGTTATATAACCTCAAGAAGTAAATGACTATCAGAGATACCACTCAGCTTGTTATTCGAAGTTTACGGCAGTGTCAAAAAAATACAAAGTTGTTGTCGTAAAGTAAAACTTCATCAATATTATTCAAAATCAATTTTTAGTGTACGCGATGAATCCTTCCATAATCTCTTTGAGAACTCTAGAACATTAAACTTGAGCTTTTTACAATTCATTATGGTTAGTCTTACAAAAAAAGTAAAATAGATAGGAATAAGAGACAGATGCAGCGTCCTAGCGGTGGTGCTCGGGCACTGCATGTTAAACCCAACTTCATAGGCTTGGCAGACGACCTTCGTTGTATCTTATTCGTGGCAGACTAATATTTTTGTCTTTGTTACTATGAAGAGAAGTATTCCAATTAATTTCAGCCTTGTGGGTATAATTTTTTTTTTTTAATTTTTTTGCGCTTATTTTTGTGGGTGGCAGACGACTTTTGTCGTGGAATTTAGGTGGCAGAAGATATTTTCTAAGGTTTCTATGTTTCTACCAATACGTACAATAAGTTTCGCTTGTGCGGCTATAAGTTTTTTTCGTAAATTTTTTGCTGTAATTGTAACCTTCCTGTAACCCCCTGTCGTGAGGGTGCGCCGGCCATACCACACGCATAGCAGATACAAAAAGAATGAAGCTTGCAAAAATGGTACAATAAAATATGTCGTTAACTTCCGGACTAATAGGTACGGATACCTCCATTTCCAGGTTTCATTACTTTAGGATGAAAAATAAGAACTTAAATAGGCATATTTATGTAAAAAAGGCTTGGTTGATTATATAAGGTGGTAATTATCAAATACAAAATCGAATTCAAAAATACCGCGTCGGGTCACTTTTGGGACTGGAAGAATTTTGACTATGTCCTGCTCTTCTACATTGTTCAAGTCTTCAAATTGGGGCCGAATAAACTTTTTATTTTGAAATTTCAAAAAATCGACAACCCAATCATCTCCAGCTTTTTCTTTGACTTGGCCAACAAAATGTTTTAGACTTTTCTTAGTGCAATATTTCACCAGAACCCATTTACCTATTGCTACTGTCTGAAAATTGATGGCATTTTTGTCGTTTTCATCAACACCTTCTTCATCACTTGAAAATTCCTCAGCATCATCTGATGACTCCATGTAGGGCACTTCGTCTGATTCATCTTCAGAGCTAGATGGTTCTTTTTTTTTTTGTTTCTTTGCTGGCTTAATTTTTATGTCAGCCTTGTTGTTATTTTTTTCTTTGATACGCAATAATGCTTCGTCGCATGTCAAGAGCTCAGACCCTGGACAAACTCTTGTCCTTTTTTGTTTTTCGGGAAGTGGTTTTTGTCGAATTTGGGCCAATAAAACTTCTTCAAATGAAAAATTATTCAATGTCTGTAGAGAACCTGCAGGCTGTGATCTTGATAGGTTTGCAGGCTGTGATGTTGTTGGCCCTGCAGTCGGTGATGTTGTTGGCCCTGCAGGCTGTGATGTCGATGGCCCTGCAGGCAGTGATCTTGAGGGCCCTGCAGGCTGTGATGTTGATGGTTCTGCAGGCGGTGATGTTGATGGCCCTGTAAATACGGGCTCTGGTTCATCAAGTCTTTTCCGGTGAGATTCCCATCTCTTCAACGTGTCTGGCGGAAATGCTTCCTTAGGGATAGCATTTTTGTTTAGAAGATAGATGCCACCTTTACGGAAGCCATTTTTAATAACGTCTGGTGATATAGATTGCCAAGTTTCACAGAGAAATTGAGAAAATACTTTCTTTGGTATTTTTCGACCAAAGTTTTGACGCTGCCATGAAATTACTTTTTGATCCCATTTATTTTTGAAAGATTTGAAAACCGCCAAATCCAACGGCTGGAGTAAGTGGCTGGTATGAGCGGGTAATTTAAGAATAAGAACGTTATTGAAAAGGGCTGCTTCAATTATTTCCATGTTAATGTGGGTAGCATGTCCATCATATATAATAACAACTGGCCTTCTTCGCCGATGGCGGGAATTATGGTTTTCAAAAAATAGTTTTTGAAAATGTCACTTTCCATCCACCCTTTTCTACTTGCAGCATAGACAGTTCCAGGGAATTCTGTGCCTTTTAGTGTTATCCATTGGTCCCACACAAAAGCCCCTTTAAAAATAATCAATAGAGGTGCTTTACCGCCTGCAGCGTTGCACATGGCAAGGATAGTAGTATTCTCTCGCCCTGGAGAGCTTACAGTCCGTGAAGAAGCTTTATTGATTTGACCAACAACTTTACTTTTTCGGGGGTCTATAGACAGACTTGTCTCATCAAGGTTTCATATACGTTCTGGTTTGTCTATCAAATTATGCCTAATAAGTGTTTTTTCAAGAAGATCGAAATAGCCATAAATTAGAAATGGATCTGTAGCATTCTTCCTGGCATACTCAACGTTTTGCGGTATTTTCAAGCTAAGATTGTGTCGTTTTTTAAAAGCTAAAAACCAATCTTCTCCTGGAACTCCATCCTTGAAATTATTTTCCTTTTTATTGGCTGCAGTATAGGCTCCGACCGTCTGAAGCACTTCCTTACGAGACATTCCAAAACCCCATTTTTCAAGGACTTCCAATCCATTTGCCAATTTTACTTCTTCTTCTTCAGTCAAGTAGGTCGGACGACCTTTGCTGGTTTTAATTTTACCACGTAGGCCCTTTACACGGCTGTATAAGGTGACATATTATGGTATGTTATATTCTTTATGTGCTCGGTAGATTGTAGATCTCCCTGCCTTTACATCTTCTATAGCCTTTTCAAGATCAGCTTTCTCATATTTTGATGTGCCATCAGTTTTTCGAATATATTTGCGAACCATTTCTGAAAGGGGTAAATGTGATATAGAACATATCACATTTGCCCCGGTTGGACTTTAACACGGGGCAATTGTGATATAAACAAAAAAACAATAAACAATTCCTAGTTAAAATTTAATTTGGGATCATAAAAAGACATTATATTAATGTTAAAAAATTAAATATAAGAACCTTACCTGATTTAAAATGCACAAGATATAAATTATTTATCAGCAACGTGCGACTTGGAAAATTGTGTTTAATAAACAGCTGTTCAAATGTCATTGGTATTAGGATCTAAGTCGGCAATACAGGTATTTTTTTTTTGCCTTAGAGTAATCCTAGGTCTGTATACATCATGATACGACAGATGGAACCTGTATAACCTTTTTCGTTATTTGTGGGCATGGTACTAACACATTTACCCCTTTATCACAATTACCCCACTTCACCTTAACCCAGTCTTATATTTTGTTATGTTATAAAGAGAGTGATTCTATTTGAAAATCGTGGCGAAATCGAAGCGAAAAGAGTAATTTATTGTCTATTTACGTGACTCGTTCTATCTACGCCTGTAGCAACGTCGGTAGTAATGGTTATTCATGATATCGCTGCGACATTGAGACATCCTTCTGATGGGTGGAACAAATGATTGAAAAAAAAACGCCGGAATCTCTAGCACAATATTAAGCTAATTTAATTAAGCCACCCAAGACCAAGACGGCAATAAATCTTAGCAACATACGGCGCACAATAAGGTCAGGTTGATTACGGCTTAGCTGTTTACAACGTTGCACTTCTGTGCTATACTCAA